CGTTCGCGCATACTTGGTTAGCCAGTGCTAAAGTCTAGACCGCGTCTAAATTCGGATCAGATTTAACCCATACTTAGCATTCGTTAGCCCGTGCTAAGCGTTCACGCACGTTTTCTTAACACGGGCTAAGGAATTTGACCTCCTAGCTCGCGCTAAGGAGCTGTGCGTGAACGCAACTCATGGTCTCTACTCTCTTCGTAAGATACTTCACGCTTACCGTTTATGAGCTTGAATAAACATTATGTTAAATTATTTAAAAAACAAAATCTGGGTCTATTATCAAATAGACTGTAAAATCCACAAACTCGAATCCTCTAAGTTGTGATTATTCTCCCCAGATGCCTAGCTGCAGTTCTGTAATTCAGAACGGATGAAATAGCCGTATCGGTGATAAAATAAACATGATATACCATTGTAATATTTTAGCTAACAATGCATTGTTAGTCATGCTATATTATTGTATCATCGATATCAAGGTGCGACAGCCTGGGCCGCGGATAGGCTCAAGGAAGCATCCAAAATGTTCATGAAAAGTTTTATTTGAGTATTTCATATTTTTTTTTCAAATTGGTAGTTACGAACAAGTTTACACTAACATTTCGAAGACTTGGTTGTTTGGTGTTCAACCGTCCTCTACAAGTATTATATATATATATATATATAGTTTTGAGCGAATAGTATGCCTTTTGCTCGCTTGTCAACCTCTCAAAACTATACCACAATGCAATATAATTTTGTAATTGCGATATAGTCTACAACCTGTCTATTTTGTAGTCATTTAGTGAAATTTATCCTTAGAGGAACACAATCGCGTACGCGATCTTGACAGAAAAACGCAATGGTTCTTCGTCGGCGGTAGTGCCATTCAATATTTTTTCCGTCAAATGTGCTTTGTCAAATCGAGACAAAATAAACAAAATATCACAGTCCACATTTTTTCTGTATATGTAATATTGTTTTCTTATTATTTTAATATCTAGTTACCCATGAAAACCAGCGTGTAGACTTGAATTACATTGCACACATCTTTGAAGTTAGAGTGTATCCCTGATCTAACACTTTTGCCTTGTGCTAACCACGTAACAATGGTAATTGGAAGAGTGGAGGCGATGATGGGAGACAATGAAACACTTTGTGGAGAAAAAACAAGTCTCGTGCTTTCTCGCTGTCAACGAGACTCGGCGGCCATTTATGTCTTAAGTATTTTTTATGTAGGACCGCACGCCCATATGTTGTAAAAGCATCGTCATATTATTTCTAAAAGAATTATTTGCGAATATTTGATATTTCTTTATTATTATTATTATTATTATTATTATTGTCTATGCAATATACATTTACACATAAAGTATTAAATTAAATAACGCCTGACTTACTATAGTAGAATTCGGCAGCATTACTCCGAGTATTTTTGCTTCTTTCAGCATAATGTCTCTGGGATTGATAGCTATGTTACCGTATCTACCAACCACCTAAACATGCACAGAAATAAATGCAATTAGCATTTATTAAAGAATAAAAGATGTTAATTTGTTTTTCACAACAATTGATGGACATTGAAATAGTTTGTATAAGTTAGCAGGGCGATGGAAATCGGAAGCTCTCGTCGGAACTATCGCTTCAACCTAAGAAGTAATTAAAGTTTCGATTTGATCATTATTAGGTATTCTGTTGCGCTGATCACGTCATCAACTTGCAGACGCCTTCATAGTTGATCCACGACATCACATTTAACACAGCTCAGAATACAACAACTAATACCAAAGCAAGCGATTATAACGTTGTCGGGAGTTTCATAGAATACCCACACGCAAGTGAATGGAATGACCCATTTCACAATGTACTATGACAACACTATCGTGTGGCATTAACAAGTAGTTTATTGACCTACCACTAGTCTGCCACCATTAGACAATATATCTAAATCTTTTACGAGATGTAAATGGGCGTTCATTTCCATTATTGCATCAACGCCTTTGCCATCGGTCAATTCCTGGAACATAAAAAATGCAAAATGCACGTTATTATAATTAACCGAAAACAGGAAAACAATGCAAACACTTAGCTGAGCCAAGCATCACCTTTATCTTTTCCATGTATCCATCCTCACGATGATTGAAAACATAGTGAGCTCCTTGTTTCTTCACAATTTCCATGCCCTCTGCTGTTCCCGCTGAACCAATTACTTGCATACCATGGGCGCGTGCAATCTGCACGAACGCTATTCCAATCTATAGCAGATATAATTAAATATATATAATAAATAAATAACTTACTTAAAGATGCAATATGGACGAAAACACGTATTTTTTAATAATGTTGTTCGATAAACTATACTGAAAACCAAATCGGAGTATGACTGATCATTAACTAAAAATGTTGCATTTGCAGAATTGATAGAAGTTAGGTGAAACATCAAAGCCACTAATATGCATGTGCAATGCTTATTACAGTACATACCAAAACACACGATGCACATTTCATTGTTGCACTCAGATATGTGCAAACAGCGTTTTCAGTTTATGATAAATCATAATCAGCATACAATATCAAACAACAATACTAAAAATTACATGTTCTCATCATCCATATTGCAACTTTAAGAGAGAGAGCCACATTTCTAGATTTCTGATTGTGATTCACATAATTTAAAAAGGTTTGTAATAAAGTATCCATTCATGTGAGAATTGTCTTCATATCAGTAGAAAGGTTCATGCAGTTATTTTTTTCTAACAACAAAGACAATGAATGTAAAACAAATATAAAAATGTAATATATACAAAACACCTAAATATTCAATTGTCATATGACGGATTGTTGCATCAAAACTTATCCCGACACTTTTTTTAACTAAACAAAAAGCCAATTAGTTACAAATTTGATTAACTACGATATTCGTGTTGTCATCATCATCATATATCGTTGTTGTCATCATTGTTTATGCAAGCTTTATCAGGAATTCGGGAACGTAGATAAAACAGCCCCTCCCTAACCAAGGCTAAGTAGGCATTATGCGCGACAGTAAATTTAGATCCGTCTTTCGAATAAATTGCAGTATGCTATTAATGCTTCCCTATTGTTAATCGTACAGTTGCAGTAAAGTTTTTTTTTTTTTTTATTTATTTATTTCACCAGTTACATAAGGAAATTAGATAAATACTAATGTACAGAATGCATATATAAATAAAATATTGCTTTGTAGGAATGCAACTGGTGAGGGACAAGGAAATAGTTCGATATTGAACTAGTCTAGTCCATGTCCCCGCCTAGCGTTATACACAGAATTAGGCGAGGGTTCTCCGAAC